TAAGGCATCGTTCCCAATATGTTAGCTTTAACCCCACCCCCACCCCATAAATTGATACAATACCAACTCCACCAGTATTTTGATTTCAGTTTAACGATTAACGGACGGCTCAATCGGCACTTGATCATAATCCCTTTGCAGATTACCGTCACACTTGGATATGGATAAGCCGATTTGATAAGGATTAATTTTTGCATACTTTTTTCCCCCAACCGACCCCGGGCTGGGCTCGGGCGATTTTGTTTTTCCCAAACGTGGATCGTCCCTATTGAGGAGGATTACCGACAGGTTTGGATTTAGATTGGGTTATCCGATTTTGAGGTGTGGCTGTGGGTTTTTTGACTAAACTCGACAATTTACGATTTGGCAGGCGTTTCCAATTTCTCTGTACTATCCAGGAATAGGTTGAGATTAAGATTGATACGGGATAATCCGATGGAAAGGTTCTTTTGGATTATCCCAAATCTAATGCCCACTTTTGGGTGATGAATGAAAAAAAAATGACGACCAATGTACGGATTAATCCATTCGTGTGTTGGATAGAGATGGGTTAGGATGAGAGGGGTTAACCTCTGGATAATCTATTGCAAATTAGGTACACAGGTTGAAACCTTTCGGGAGGTTGCGCAAGGCTGAAAGTTTATGGTAGGTTGCATGTGAGGTTGCACTGGCTGAATCAACCTTCTGTGAGGTTGCAAGGGAAAAATACACAGTTTGAAACCTTCTGAAGGATGCACAGGGCAAGGTGATACATGAAACGTTCCTGGTAGGTTGAAAAAGAGAATGCATAGGTTGAAACCTTCTAGGTGGTTGTACGAGATTCTCTTATTGGGAGGTTACAAGGGAAAAATGCATAGATTGAGATCACAAAATTAATTGCTGATATAACAATCTAAATGTGTCTGATCTGATCTCCTTGGTCGTTAACAGGAGAGGTTTTTTGGCAGGACCGGTCACCGAATACTTTTCTGAAAAATTATATACGGGCCAGTGTCCCAATTGATATAACAATGTCATAACGTTCCAAATGTGTCTGATCTCCTTGGTCGTGAACAGGAGAGGTTTTTCGGCAGCACCGAATACTTTTCGACCACTGGCCCAAGTTGATATAACAATGTTATAACCTTCCTTGCCTGTAGGCCTATAGGATCTCTTTTGCTTATGAAAGCTTTTTCGGCAGGTTCGTAATATTTTTCTTGAAGGACAAACAGATATTTTTCCTGTTTATTTGTGCCATTTTGTGAACGGACGTCACAGATTTTCTTTTCCGCCACCTCACTTAATCACCCTTGATTGCTCACTGATGAGGGTGGGGTCATGAAACGGCTATCCTTGACACCGAGGGAATTGGATGACTAGGCGGAACAGGTGAGGATTCGGCAGAAAAAAGGAACATTAAACGCTAACGAGTTAACCTTTTTAATGATCCTACGTTTATCGTTAATTCGTAGAATTTTCAAGAAGCAAATATCTACCTCAAAGTTTGGGTAACAATGCTGTACCCTGCGACATTATTGAAAGAGGTTGCAAGGTTAAACCTTCCTGTAAAACGGGCTTCAGTATTTTATAAAATAAATTTCTTACAAGCATTATAAATAATAATGCGTTAAGAGTTTTTGTGCCAGCGTAACGATGTTGTAACCTTCGACAAATGTTAAGAGTGATTGCCAAGTTTTATAACATTACTCGAAAGTAGGTTTCAGTAGTTTTTAAAACACATTTCTTTTCCAAGCAGTATAAGAATATATTGATGAGGGTTTATGTGTAACGGTAACAATGTTGTAACCTTCCACAATGTTAAAAGAGGATGCAATTTTCATCACCTTCCTCAAAGGTCGGTTTCAATATTTGTAATATATATAATTATGAAGAAGTATAAATAGTATAAAGTTAAGAAGAAATGTTAAAAGATGATAGAATGTTTATATGATAAAATGTAACAATAATATAACATTAAATTTTTTGTGTGACGTTGAAACCGTTCCTCATTATTCGCAAGAAATACATCAGATTTCCGCATCTTGAGATTTTTTAAACAAAACGGTCAGGTTATAAGTCTATAAATAATGTCGTAACCTTTCGTGTTTTGTTGATTTTATTCTCTTCAAAATTATAAGTACATGATGACATGTCGTGAATTTGTATTTTTACTCTTAGCAACTTTACAATGCGTAAATGTATCAAAGTCAACCTCCAAGTAAGAGGATATTTAATTACAACAATTTGACAACCTTCACAGAAGGTCGAAAAGTCTATAAACAATTTCGTAACCTTTCATGTTTTTTCTCCAAAGTTGTAAGTACATGAAAACACGTGAATATGTATTTTTGTGGTTCGATTCTAGATAGCAATAACATAACGTTCAGCGTCTGGAGGGCTTATGACCTTCTCTGATCGAATATGAAATTATATAGCATAATCTGATTTGTAAGGTATTATTTTCAAAGATTGTAATTTTCCCAATTTTGTCCCCCAGTTTTTCGAGATCACAATGTCATAATCTACAAGACAATTATAACGTAGCCTAAAAAGCTCTTTAAAAATGTATAATCCTTTTGTTCAGTTCTGAAATAGGTCATTATCTGGTTATGTCGTTGTTACATAGATTATAACCCTACCATTAGGGTCATTCGAGATAACCTTATCTTAACCTACTGCGCCTTTCGCGCTTTTGCTACTTTTCTCAAGCAGAGTAATAAATGGAATTGTAAATTCCAGTTTAATTGTACATTAAATCATAGTTCTTACGCCATTTTCTTCTTATTCAATGTAATAATCACATAACCTGCAATGCCCAACAATGTTATAACCTCTGTGTTACTTTTAACCACCATGTGTGAAGTTAAGTTCCAAACGCTCTTCGCGTTCACGACGCGTAATCCCATAATTTCAACCTGCTACCTTGCAACTTCCCAGACTATATTAATCATAACCGTGCTAACCTACCCAGTTCGTGTACACAGTATTGTGGTCCGAATCTTTTGATACTAAAGGACGTGTATCCTTGACCTGCCAATCCAAGGTTCCGTGGCCCAACAAAAAAGAACATCTTATAACAATGATGTAACCTCCGTGTTATTCTGTTCATTCACTTTGTTTTGAATTCAAAAGCGCCCAGTTTTTATTAGCGATATTCTACTATTTTTAGTTTAGTGAAATTTTGCTGTTGGATTAAAAAAAAAAAAAAAAAAATATATATATATATATATGTAAAGCGACAATGTTTCCTCTCAGTTTCTCGGACTGAGGAAATTTTGCCGCGTTTGCCTTTTGCAGTTAAAACTACGACTACCTCATACAATCACCGACTTGCTATGTTCTTAAACCATTTTCAATTGTGAATTGAATTGTGTCGAGGTGGAAGCCGCGTACGTCTGTGAATTCGTCAAGAAAAGAAATGTAAGATAGAAATCTGGCGGTCCGATCTGCCCGTTATATTTTGACTGCAATTTTGCCGCCCGGCCAGCCATCGAAGAACACTTGGCGGCGATTTTGCCGCTTCGTCCCAGTAAAAAAAAAAGAACTTTGGGGATTATCAAATCTATCGAAGCATATTTCAATGAGACTGTGATGACACATTTACCTGTCAGTATGAAAAAGCAATTTTGTCCCGTCATTCTTTTCATAAAAGTTCAGCATGAATCGTAATATTTTCCCCGTACGGATCAATAGTGAAAGTGGCGTTTACCTCGACCTTGAGTGAAATTTTGCCGCGCCAGTCCTGTGCGATTTTTGAACCACCATAATGTTACCGTGTACGTTTAAAAATTTGTTTAAAAGAAATATACTATACAAATTTGATGTGCCTGTTATATTCTCTCTGCAATTTTGCCGCCCGGCTATCCAACGATCACTTGGAGGCAATTTTGCCAGGTCGTTCCTTTTAAACAATCAACCGAAATATTGCCGCACCAAGCCCATGAAATTTTCGGCATTTTTGCCGCCCCAGGGGATTACGAAATTTATCGAAGCATATTTCAGTATGAAACTGTGATGACATATTTACCTGTTAGTTTGCAACAGCACTTTTGTCGCATTATTCTTGGCCACATATTTGTTCTTTTTTCGTCCCAGCAATTTTGCCGCTTGGGTCCGCCTTCTTCCGAGGGTAGAAATTTTTCGAACCGCAATTTTGCCGCTCTTTCTTTTGAGTTTATATCGCATCGTTTGTGGCTATTTAATTTTCCCACCGTGGTCGGAGTCATTTACACCATGGGATTTGCCAATTTTGCCGTGTATGTCAGTTTCAGTCTCCAGCTACAGAGCTACTTTCAATTTTCTCACTCTGTTCAGCGAAATTCGCCCATTGAGTGTTGTGTTCTGGGTTGGAAATATTGCCGTCCAGATTTCACTGCAACGACGTTGCCATTCTAACCGTGGATATTTCTAGTTTTCCCAATGAAGCCAAATTCGCTGTTTTTGTATAGTGTCACGGGTCGCAATTTTGCCGCGGCTTCAGTTGGGTTTTTACTTGAGAAATTTTGCCTACCTTTACATTGAGCTAATGTCGCACAAATTTGGTCGCGTCTGTTAACAATTTGTAGAAACTTCTCCCCCACTTCTAGCATTCATGAATTTTTTTTCACCATGTTCGGCGAAATTTGTTGGATCTAATTTTTGCCCCTCCATTTGAAGAATTTGTACTTGATATTTTCACGCTGTGTTCACCCCAATTCGCTCATGCTCCGTTATTGTCACGGTTGACAATTCGACTAGGTCTGGGGTATGGCTTTATCTCAGAAATTTTGCTTCGTCCTGTGGAGATTCCCCCCTCTCATGCAAAATTTTGCCGCTTCCACTGTCGTTTTACTACTGATTCGTTTTGCCGCTTCAACGTTCGCTGGGAAATTCGCTCGAATCGGCCGGGGGGCAATTTTGCCGCCCTCGCACTCGACGCCCCCCTGGTTCCTCGCATCCCGGTCGGTGCCTTCTAGGCCCCTCACCCATCTTCTCGAGCTCCCCACCCGTTTCAAGGTATAAGTCCACACGGGTTCCGTCCGCGCCTTCACTTTCACTCAGTCAGTGCGCTTCGAATTAGCGTTTGAATTGTTTGTTTTTTTCACCCGTGAAAAAAATTAAATAACAAACAGAAATAATATTTAAAAAAAAAAAAATTGCAAAAAGTTATCGGGTGTCCAATTTTCAAAACAACCCCCGAGTGTGTTTGCAACAATCAAGTGGAAGTTGATTTTTTTCACTCAGCGAGTTTTTTTCCCGTGTCTTTTTATTTGGACCTAAGCTCGAGGTAAGCGGAAACAAAATTTTTTAGTTTTTCTTCACGCAAAAATATTTTGATTTTTTTATCCACACGATATGCGAATATGTCCAAAAAGGGACGCGGATTTTTTTTTTTTTTTAATTTAATTTCTGGCCCCTTAAAGATTTGAACGATTTGAAACTTCTTGCAACTATATCTGGATTAATGTAATGATTAGAGGATTAGGGATTGTATTTGGTTTGAAAAAAAAATTTGCATTCTGTCGAGTCGGACGGAAAAACTGACCAAAATCGTTACCCGTATTTTTTGTATTGTAAAAAAGATTAAAGGATTTATTCGAGGTAGATTAACACAAGATTATCAGTGGATTAAGAGTTTTTTTTACATTCGTTGTAACAGATATTTGTTATCGGATTCTATTTGACCAGATAGGATTATCTGTAACCATCCTAAGGATCCAATGAAATGATTGACAAATTATCTCAGATTTTGGCCAGATATGGCGTAATAATAAGAAGGATTAAAATAGGATTAATAATAAAAAAAACATGTCTGTCAGTTGTGGATTATCGAAGGGATGAACAAAAAAACGTCTGGTTTTTGGCCTCAAATCGAACGAACATTCTGTGGATTAATAAGGAATTAAATCGAATAATTTGTCCATTGAGAAGGGAATAAATAGAATAATCTGGATTAAGTAGAGACTAAAGCGAATAGTCTTTGGATTAACAAAGGGATTAACAAAATTAGATCTTTTTTTTTAAACCAAAATCTATTCAGTATTCGTTGGATTAATGATCAAATAGCAATCTATGGATTAAGAAATGATTAACAAAAAAGGTCTGGTTTTGGAACGAAATCGATCGAATAATCCTGAAGATCAATAAGAGATTAAAGAAAATAATCTATGGATTAATAAAGATTAACAAAATGGTCTCTTGTTTAGGACCGAATCTATTAATCATTAGGATTGAGGAGGGATTAACAAAATTAAATTTAGTTTTATTGTGACCAAAAGAATGGATCGAATAGGATAATCTTAGGATTAAGAATAAGAGATTAAATCGAACAATATGTAGATTAAGAAGGGATTAACAAAAATGGTCACCGGTTTTGGACCGAAATCAATCGAACAATCCTGAAGATTAATAAGTGCTTTAAAAAATAATCTCTGGATTAAGGATATAAAAATGGTCTCTGGTTTTGGACAGAAGTAGATCTTTCTATTAATCCTAAGGATTGAGAAGGGATTAACAAAATTGAATCTAGTTTTGTTCGGACCAAAATTAACACAATATTCTCTGGATTAATAATGAATCAAAGGGAATAATCTGAGGATTGAGATGAAGGGTTTAAATAAAATATGTGGATTAGGAAGGGATTAAAAAAATGGTCTCTGGTTTTGGACCGAAATAGATCTTAATCATGAGGATTAATAACGGATTAAGAATATTAAATCCAGGTTTTTTTGGACACAAATGGTACAATAGTCTTTGGATTAAGAACGGATCAATTGGAATAATATGAAAATTAAGAAGAAGGGATTAAGTAATATATGTAGATTAGGAAGGGATTAACAATAAAAATGTCTGGTTTTGAACGGAATAGATCTGTTGTTAATCCTGAGGATTGAGAAGATATTAACAAAATTGAATCCAGTTTTGTGGGACCAAAATCGATACAAAAATATTTTTTGCATTAATAATGGATCAAATAGAGTAATCTTAGAATTAAGAAGAAGGGGTTAAATAGAATAATCTATGCTATTATGAAAAGATTAACGAAATTTTTGGTTTTGGACCGAAATCGATCGAATAATTCTGAAGATTATGAAGGGATTAACAACATTTTATCCCTTGTATTCCTCCTATTTTGCATCAAAATATTACAGTATTCCTTGAAAGGATGATAGTAAGGATGAGGATGATAATAGTTCGTATTATATTTGGATTAATAAGAAGGGATTAAAAATAAAAGATTCCGTTAGTGTATCATCGCCTGCAAGTAAACGGGATTCAATAATCTGTGGATTAAGACGGGATTGACTTTTAATGGTTGATCAACTTAATCGGAGGATAAATACGTGATTACGCCTAATAACTTTTTTTTAATCCGCAATGAACAAATTTTCTGGGGATTGTAACAAAAAATAGTCATTTCAGACCAAATCCTCAGACGATTACGCTGCAAAAAATTACCGCTGGATTAAGAATGGATTAACAGCTGTTATTGCTTGTTTTGTACCGCGGTTTGTAATGATTGAATCATCGGAGGATTAAGGCGTAATTCGGAGGTTTCGATTCAAGTTAGTTGGATAATATTCGGCTATCGTAACACGTAAGGGTTGAAAGAATCCGGTTCATAATTTTTTAGGCCGTCTTAATAATTATAACCGGTCGCGTGTTTTTTTTTCTCGAATCGGCTTGGGGATAAATAAAATTGTATAACTGTTAATTCATGAGACCTTAATCTTTCGGTTGAAGGGGATGAATTATGTGGTCATAACCTGAAGCATTCGCCGGAAGGCTCACAGCCGAACCTGCAAGCGGATGACCTACCGCTAACCTCGGCTTGCAACCTTCCATCTATCTGAGTGCTCATATATAACCCCTGCTTGCGTACACCTACCCCCTAACATCAGCTACTCTGATGACGACTCTAACTTGCTTATAAATAACCTTCCAAGAAGAAGAAAAACCTACGATGATCTAGCACGCATACTTCTTTCCTTTTATTTAATTTCTTTTACAGCTTCTTAAAAGAAAAAAAGAAAAAAAAAACTATTTTTGTATTGTTGATTATTGGATTTTTTTAAACCTAACGAGTCAAATAATCAACAATTGTCAACGTTCAACCTGCCATATTGGTACAAATAACCTGCTAACATGTAACCTACCGCATTGAAATAAATACCTTCCAAGTAGCAATAAACATGTGGTTTCAGGTAAAAACATCCTCTCTTTCCTCAATAAATCCGGTTGCTAAGGGCTGATCGTTAATCTTTTGTTGTATTAAATTGTTTAACGGTCAGGCTCAAAAAAATAAGCTTTAAGAGAATTGTTTAAAAAAATAAATTTGTAATAGTAGTCAATCTTGGGTTTTTTGGTCATCGGGCCGGATCTGTACTATTAATAAAACTCCCAATTGATAAGATCTATTTTATGATTCCAATTAATACAAAAGCAAAAAAATTTTAATAAATTTCCCATGATCAAAATGCAAAGCCAAAACAATTCTTAATGTTTCATCACTGGTAATTGTTTCGTTTGGGTCCTCCGGGCCGGATTTGGCCGAACGCTCTTTATTATTAGTTTGTACTTATCAATCGAGATTTTTTTTAAATTTTCGATAACGCCTAAAACAGCCAGGCCCCCTTGTTTAGACTTGTTTGTACTTTAACTCTCATCGGCGGTCATCCGGTCTTCCGGCGATTCCTTCCGAGTTCTTTTCTTCAAATTCAATTTTTTTTTTAAATAAAAAAAAAATCTTTCCCCGACTTCTAACTTACATCCCCCCCCCGCCAAGTCCGACAAGACAACAGTAACGGATCTAATCTACCGGCTTGCGTCTCCGGTCGGTCTGTCTCAAGAACGCCACCGTTAAGAAGGTTTCGAAACGTTTACCAGACCGCAATGGTTTTTAGGGTCGTCCGCGGTTGATTAACGAGCCGTCTAATTGGGCTTGGATCTTGGGCAAGGCCTCGTCCTCATACCCTTAAATAGACGCACAATTAACAACACCTTTCCAATTTTCAGAAACACGGAAGGCCCGTTTCTGGAACTTTGGAAAAAACAACAACAAAAATACTGAACTTTTGGGTTTAAGACACGATTTTATCTTTAAAATTTTTCAAAAGAATAAAGCGTTCTTGACGTCATTACCAAATGGCGTGACGTCATGAACGTACCTGCTCAACTGTAACCTCTAAAATGGTTTAAAAACATAAAATCATGATCTGACGTTGGAAAAGCACGTGATGTCAAAAAATCGTGCTTTAAGACGCTCCTGACGCCATCAAAAACAAATGTCGTCAGACAAATGGTGCCCACGATATATGGAATGCCGGCTATAATTCTAGGCTAATCGATTGTATCGCAATGATGCCCGTAAGGCAAATGACGTCATGTACGTACCTGTTTAACTGTAACCTCCTACATGGGTAAAACTGATTTTATGTTATGTCGTCATGGCATACTTGCTCTACCATTAACTTTTAACTGTTTAACTTTCTTCAAGAAAGAAAGAAAAACACTGGTGGCCATGATCATGTACATACTTATTCATCTATAACCTCCTTCACGAGTAAATCTGAATTTACTTTATAATGTCATAGTGTACCTGCTCTACGCTTAATCCTTTCAATTGCATTCAACATGACGTCTCGGAAAGACTCCTTATCGTCATGAACACTCCCCTTCTTTAACTCTAACCTCTCGGTCCTATCGCAATGGCGTGCATGACGTCATGATTATGTCAGTTCTACTATAATCTTCTAGAAAGCTAAAAAACAAATATAGAAATAATGCCTTGACATCATGATAGTTATCCTTATTTTTCTGCTTATTCACTTTCTTGCTGATATTAATATTGATAGAGTACCCCTCATTCTTCAACTTATTCACTTCCTTGCTGATACAACTTACGAAAATACCATTTCTTGTGTTACCTTCCCCCTCGTCTACGGCGCCGAGTCCAACAATCTCTTGCATGGCCCACTTCAACAATGATTTGTTTTCTGTTGCCTCAATGACGTCACGTATGAGAATGGCGCCCAAGTCGATTGCAGGATACATGACGTCATGAAGGCACACGCTCTAACCTTCGCTGAAACCTAGACCAGTAGGTTATACGTTTATCCGATATGTTGCAACATGGCTACAATTTAAAAAAATTGCAAATACTGTCTCCCCGAATAGGTTACACCTTACATTTGTTACATTTAAAACTTTTTCATTTTATCACTATTTGATTATTTTTGAGTATTTTATCATAAATTGATTATTTTTAACAAGTATATGATATACTTGTCTGAATTTCTTATTACTACAGTAGGTTATTTAGGTGGTTTCTTTCAATTATAACCAGTTTATAAATTAGATGTATATTTCGCAGGAGAAGGTTGCGTTCATTTATTAACCTTCCCTGATTCAACTTTGTGTTTTATTAATAAACAAATATAACTTATTTATCTTATTATGATATTAAGTTATGCTTGCATTGTATTACTAGAATAGGTTATGATTTCTATATAAACGAAAAGACTTCAGAAGGTTTGATTGCCATGCCTACAGACAACAGCATTGGAAATGAAACACAAATGGCGTCAGATATGGTGCCCAAGTCGGCGTGAGAGAAGACAAATGACATCAGACAAATGGTGGCAATGACGTCGTGATAAGACAATAGCACCCATTCCATAAAAGCAACTGACATCAGACGAATGGCGGCCATGACATCTGATGAGACAACGGCGCCCATTCCTTAAAAGCAAATGACGTCAGACGAATGGCGTCTGTGACATCATAGAATACAAGTGATGTCATACAATATGGCGCCAATGATGTTATTAACAACGTTTGGTTTTTCTCTTTATGAGTAGATTATTGATATAACTTTACTTAGTTACTGCTGTAGGTTATGTTTATTATAACCTTTTTCGTCACTTTTTCGAAAAGATTGATTGTTACACCGGACAAACTTTCCTCTTTATTTAAACCCGGGCATCTTATAATATTACTTATTTAAAAAAAATTGTATAATCAATTTATAACGTCAGAAGAACCTCACTGCGGGATGGAATGTGCGATAGGGGAAACATTCGTCCGTTCGAATCTCGCGAATTTCGCCACACCTGGCGGACGCAACCCAGAAGATTATTTCTTCAAGATGCCCGGATCATCTCCCCGGGCGGGTGGTCATTGTTCGACTTCGAGGCCGGGTTTCACAACCGAAACCGCATTCCAGCTCTCGGCGGTTTATAGACTCCACCCCATCATCATCATTATCCCCCCCCCAACACAACCACTGGCACAAGACCGGGACCGCCGAAGTTCGGAGGTACACTTGTAAGCTTGTATACATGACGGAAGGTCAAATTAGTCTGGCCCCGGCCGTTGCGCAACCCGTGGACTTTCACTGGATGTGGATTAAGACTGAGGAGGAGGACGGCTCAACGCGACGGCGAAAAGCGGGGCGGGTTGCGATATTCTCGAAATGACTTTATAATATATCGCAATCCGGAGAGGGGAAAAGCAATAGCCATAGAGTTCGACAAATCCTCCTAAAATCTCTTGCAGCGGACCCTGGACGTAAACCCGTAACGAGAACTGATTCATATTTATGATCTAGGTGTTCTTGAATTTCTTGGTTCTAGGGTAGGGTTGGCTTCCTTGATTAGGATCGCGGTATAATCCATCGTAGGTCGTGATTTGTGAGTTAGAAGCGTGGGCTTGCCTGGATTGTAAATTGTGAACAGGATCCGCCCTTGGTCACTTCCTCGCGAATAAATATATTAATAATTGAGACGGTCTGAATGCTCGATTAATCAATAGATCGTTGTGATTGATTAAAATATTAACTGAGGCATTATGGTTATATTATTTATTATATGAGATTCATTGAGTGGTCAAACGGCGTCGAACAATGGGGGGGGGGGCATGACATCATGATACGAGAAGGCCCCCGTGGCAAAACGCAAATGACGTCAGATAATGGTGGCCATGACATCATGATACGAGAAGGCCTCCGTGGCAAAACGCAAATGACGTCAGATAATGGTGGCCATGACGTCGCGAAATGACAACAGCGTCGGACAATGGCGGCCATGACGTCGCGAAATGACAAAGGGCATCGAACAATGGCGGCCATGACGTCGCGAAATGACAAAGGGCATCGAACAATGGCGGCCATGACGTCGCGAAATGAGAAAGGGCGTCGAACAATGGCGGCCATGACGTCGCGAAATGAGAAAGGGCGTCGAACAATGGCGGCCATGACGTCGCGAAATGACAAAGGGCATCGAACAATGGCGGCCATGACGTCGCGAAATGACAAAGGGCATCAAACAATGGCGGCCATGACGTCGCGAAATAAGAAAGGGCGTCGAACAATGGCGGCCATGGCATCATGATTGACAAGGCTCCCGTGGCAAAAAGCAAATGACGTCAGATAATGATGACCATGACGTCGTGAAATGACAAACGGGTCATACAATGGCGGCCGTGCTGTCGTGAAATGACAAACGGCTCATACAATGGCGGCCATGATGTTGTGAAAAGACAAACGGCGTCAAATAGTGGCGACCATGACGTAATAAAAAGGCAAATATGTCAGACAATGGTATACACGACATCGTGATAGGCAATGACGCATATACCACAAAGTAAATGAAGTCAGATGTATCGATTTCGATTTGTCAGTTCGATCTAATTCAATGAGGCCTTGTATTTTTTTTGGTGAAGTCTTGTAAGTAAAGTGAACCTTTCGGTTTCGTGACCGCCGACTCTTCACCTTTGTACCTTCTTGCCGCCTGTGGGTCTTTTCCTCCTCGGTTTGTCGAACCTGCCTCCGCCACGAAGCGGAACGGTTTCGACCGGCGATTATCCCGGTTAAACAACGGTGTACAAGGCGACGTGAGATCGCCGGGATAGATCAACGATACCGAACGTCCGAAAGGACGCAGGTCGCGTCTTATCTTGCGTCGCGAAGGCCGAGGAGGAAATCCGGCCCGGGATTTCCTGAAAAACCTCTGCATCCTCAGAAGTGTTTTAGAAAATAATGAAACATATGTAAATATTTCGATCTGAACGTCGTTTACGTACAGTTTGAGAAAATACTGTCAAGTCCTATACATAATGTTTTAAGTTTCGATCAAATCGCTATGCCTACAAAAGGTCAAGTTGTAAAAATAAAGAAACATATGGATATTCCAATTGTACCCTCCCCTGTGTACAGCTACAGCTTGGGAAAATACCATCAAGTACTGCACACAGGGGCTTGATTCCACATCTATGTCACGTTTTTTTCTGTTTTTTTCAGACTGGCTACGCCGGGTCAACAGTCCGAAGACAGAAGTTGACAACGAAATCAATACAGGTTCGAAAAAAAATTCCGTTCTGGAACAGTGAAAACATGACTTTTACCCTGAACGATTTTTTTTCGCTGTTGCAGAACCATGGCAGGCCTGGTGAAAATGGCTTTCGACGAGTACAACAAAATAAGCGGTACGTAGATTAATTAAAAACTAAATATTTATGAATATTTTATATTCACTGAAATTTTAATTAAAAAAACACAAGACAAAGCCTAATCGGTTATGAAGGAACATTGCTCACTTGAACATTGGCATGAAAAAAATAATAAATAAAAAATGTAAATACGCTAAAACAAACAATACAGAAAAAAATAATTGGTCTTGTTGTCCCTGTACTGTAGTCCCGGTTTGGCTTGTCCTTAGTCGGTCGACCCACCGGAAGTTCAATTACAGCCTGACAAAACGCAGCTGGACTTTTATCAGGCTGACAATTTGCTATTTTTCATATCTTATACTCTTTGAACAGACAGCTTCCAAATTTTAAAATACATTCTAATTTTTTCCACCGATTAAGACAGTTTAAAAATAACGCATAACGACAAGTGTTAAGGAAAAATCCTCGGTGGCGCCTGCTCCGGACTTTCAATGACAACTGACAGTGGCGCGTCTATGCGAAATTTAAGGTTAAAGAATACGATAGACAAAATCTCACCCCTCCCGAATTACATTGGAGGTAAAAAATGAAGGTGCATTCTCATTGGTGTCCCTCGAGAATTTAAAAGGAGGCGCCAATGCGCGGGATTTCAGCTGAAGCCAACAATAGTCGAAATCTCATTGGCATCACATCCGGCAAGTCGGAGAAAATTGACATTGGCACCCCTGCGAAATTTTGGTGAAAGTCACCAAGTGAAACGAATTCTCATTGGCGCCCCCTCGAGAATTTAAAGTTATATTTTCACTGGTACCCCTCCCCGAAATATACAAAACGTCATTTATAGAGACAAATTCTCATTGTGCGTCTTTTTCGAAATTTCAGAAAAATTACCAATAGGGAAATTTTCAATGACCCCTCCTTAATAATTGTAGAAAAAGTCGTCAATAGAGACCAAACTCTTTGGCGCCACCTCCAGTATTTCTGTGAAAATTGAAATTAGCACCCCTGTGGAATTTTGGTGAATCATCAATAGACATAAATTCTCATTGGTGTTCCCTCTCAAATAAACAGAAAGCGTCATTTATAGAGTTAAATTTTCATTGGTGCCGCCTCCCTTATTTCAGAAAAATCGCTAATAAAGACATTTTCAATGACGCCCCCTAATAATCGTAGAAAAAGTGGTCAATAGAAATTCTCTTTGGCCTTCCACTTCCAGTATTTGGTGAGTCACAATAGACACTCCCATAGGCGAATGGGAATAATTGAAGAAAAAGTCATCAATAGAGACCAAACTCTTTGACGCCATCTCCAGTACTTCTGTGAAAATTGACATTAGCACCCCTGTAGAAAATTTTGGTGAGACACCAATCGAGACGAATTCACATTAGCGCCCTCTACGAAATTTCACCTTCAATCTCATTGGCGTTGCATGTGGAATCTTCAGAAAAACGCACATGCATCGCCAACTGATCTTTCAAAACCTCGATTCTCTATGCAAAAATCCCACTCTAAGACAATTAAATTTTACTAATATTAAATTATTATTAATTATTCGTTACAAGAAGCAAAACGATAATGTACTAATCTTTTACGCCTGGTTCTAAACTGTTCAAAGTTTGTTCTTTCTTTTTAGACACATCATCATAAAATGTTTATTATATTTTTTTGGACTCAGATCCACGAGTGGAATCGTGGCCGCTGATGGAGACACCGTTCCCGACCCTGCTCATGGTTGGCACTTACCTCTACTTCGTCCTTTTCCTAGGGCCTAAGCTCATGGAGAACCGGAAGCCGTTCAAGCTCAACAGCGTGCTCGTCGTATACAACGCCATCCAGACTTTGTTCAGCTTCCTGATGTTTTCCGAGGTAAGGGACGGAATTTCGCCGATTTTTTTTTATTTATTTATTTAATTATTGACTTATTGACTTTTGTTTTGACGTCCCGGCAAATTTTGTGGGTGACTTCTGTCCATGGCCCTCAGCCTGGTGGAACTTATCAGGCTGAAAAAAGTCCATCTTTTCTACCGTTGTTAAGATGTACACGCAACTTCATTTTTTTTGTATTATTGTTTTCTTCTTGTTGAGGGTCCGTAAGTAACCTTGGACGTTCCACGGTGGCCGGCATCCAAATGGGTTCACTTTTACGTCCTTCAACGCAGCCGGCGAAGCCCGGATTTGATTTTGTAAAAAAATATAAATGCGTCGGCTTTTGATACTGTTGATTTTTTTTTTTAAATACAAATCATTTCTGATCCGGGATTCTTTCTTTTGTACTTGGATGGTGAGCGAACTCACTGAATCCGTGAGCCAGCTACTGATTGACCGGTGATGAATCAGTTCAAGTTTGCTCGGTCGTGATCCGGCTCTTTGTTTTACTGAACCGTAAACCATGGACCGATTCATTTCTGATTTATCCGTGAGTCGGTGCATTCTTGAATGATCCATGAACCGTCTAGCAACTCAGTTCGAATGGATCCCTGAAGCATTCATGACCCGGTTTACTTTTTGTTGATACATGAGCTGAACCGACTCACCTGTAAACCGTGAACCGACTCATTTTTGAACGATCCGTGAGCTCGTTCTTTTCTTGAACGGTGAACTGAACCGACTCAATTGTTATCGAACCGTGAACCGACTCACTTATTAGAACGGTGAGCCAACTCATTTCTGATCGATCCGTCAGCTAGTTCTTTTCTTATTGATCCGTAAGTCGATGAATTCCTGAAAGATTCGTGAACCGACTCAATTATTACTGAAACGCGAACTGACTCATTTCTGATTGATCCGTGAACCGGTTCATTTTTTGATACGTGAATTGAACCGACTCACTCCTGATGGCTTGTGAACGGTCAACCGTTTTTTGGCCGAAAGACGACCTAGTCCGCTTCCGAACGAACTATAAACCGGTTCTTTGTCTTTGAACCACCACCACTAAACATATTTATTTTTAACCGTCGCACATCGTTCATTACTAGCCACATAGATGGGATTCGAGTCTAAATATTTCAACCTCGGTAGCCGAGTGGTTAGCATGAGAGACTCTCACGCCGCGGTCGTGGGTTCGATTCCCACCGTCGCCTCTGGCCCTTTTTTCCGATAACCCCCAATTTGAACACACAAGAATTCGTACTATGGCTAATATGCAAGATCATAAGGCCAATAAAAAAAAAATATGTATATATTTCAACCGGACTACCGACTCAAAAAACTCGCCGATTGTACTTTTATCAATAGGCCATTCATTTTTTTAAATAAATTAATTAAATAATAATACAACTTTCAGTTTTATATGTTCCTCTGCTAGAGAAAAATTGTCGGGACGTCTTCTCCTCGTTTCCTCGTCTCCGGTGTGCCAATTATATCCTCTTGGTTGATAGCACGACTCGTTAAGAAACATCGTGGGGGGGGGCACGGTAAAGATCGAAAGTTCAAAGCGCGTCAACATTTTCAAACGGTACGAAATAAAATTTGTGGAAGGCTTTCGATATTTGTTCGATCGGTTAGCCGGTTCTTTTCTTATTGATCCGTGAGTCGGTGCATTCCTCAATGATCCATGAACCGACTCACTTATTATCGAACAGTGAACCGACTTTGATCGATCCGTGAGCTGGTTTATTTTTGATTGATACGTGAACCGACTCACTTACTACTGAAATCAGTTCGGATTTATTTCTGATCGATCCATGAACCAAGTCACTTACGTCACTACCTTTAATTCACATTCGCGTTTTGAAAGCGATCATTTGGTTAATATTTGCAAGAAATACTCTTAGAGGAGGTTATAATGTACCATGTTACATAATATCAACGATATTACTTCGTTACGTCGCTGTTAAATCGATATTTTTTAATAGTACAACCTTCGCAAGGCGAAAGTTCCTAACCTTCCCAATATTCTGGTAGGTTATAATGGGTTATCTTTCAAAAAATTATAGAAAACAATATGAGGAAGGTAACGGATCATCAACGGTTTTTGGATGGTTATAACTGCCGAATTTTTTTGTCGGTTATAACTTACCCATTTGTAGGTAGTTAGCATAAGCCAAAAAGGCCACATTGAATTCACGTTGGAAGGTTTTGCAAGGTTATATATATTTAATTTTTTCTCTTGTACTTTTATTCTCGTAACCTTTGCCCAGTAAGAAATGTATTCAATTATGGATTATATTTTATTTAATTAAGTAAATGAAGTACCAGTTAGGAACTTATTTTTTGTCTTAAAATCTTTTTTTTTCTGTTTTTCTTATATTTGTTTCTTCTTAAATCAAATTGTATCCAACTGCCCATCATATAGGTATTTGCATAAATTCAACTCGTGCTGCAATATAACAGTCCTAGAAGGTTATGGCTGGTTATAGCCTTCGTGCCAATAATACTCCAGAGGAGGTTATTCTGCAATATTTGTGGAAAATTTTCCATTTTTCTATTGGACTCCTAGTCCAACGAGCAGATGTAAAAATGCCATATCTTTTTGCTCTCTAAAAAGGTTATAACAGTGTATACAAGTTATAATTTTCCACATTCTGTATAACAAAAAGAGAGTTATAATCATCCATCTATTTTTTATTCTCATAGCAATGTTGGTTATAACCTTAACGTTTATAACCTTCAACTCATACTGATGTACCACCACCAACTAGGTTATGACATTGTGACCTCGGATTAAGTGGTTTTCTCAACACTTGAAAAATTATTACCTTCCACCTAAGTAGTTTTCCAAAATCGTTACCATCCCATACATACCATCGGTCCATCCCTAACCACCCCCCCCAAAAAAAAAATCGTTATCATCCCATACATACCATCGGTCCATCCCTAACCCCCCCCCCCACCAAAATTGTTACCATCCCATACATACCATCGGTCCATTCCTAACCCCCCCCCCCCAAAAAAAGTTACGTTATACTCACCTAATTACTTTTGTAACAAAGTTGTTTGTAAGAAAGTTGTTATAACATTCCACTCCCTACAACAACGAAACCTTGGCGTTTATACCTAATTTTAAACATAAGCGCCATGACAGTGACAACCTTGACGTTTGTAATCTTCCACTAATATTGCTGAACTAAGAAGGTTGTTACCTCGTAAGTTATATAGATTTTTCCCTTTTTAACCTAACTTTCCACTTAAGCTGGTTTTTTCCTACAACTTGAAATTGATAACCTTCCGGGTATTACCATCAAGAAGGTTATCTTACTTTTGCCACAAAGAAAGGTGTTATAACCTTCCATTCAAATAATTTCATACGTCAATGATACCTCGGCGAATATACATTCCACCTAATTTTAATTCTCGTCTTCATGGTGGTTATAATTTGGTCCACCTATGTTGCTGTAACCCCCCCATCAACAGGTTATGGCATTGTTACATCGCAACTAGGTGAGTTCGATGTATCATCCGAATGATTTTTCATAAATAATAATGAAAAATAGCCTTGCAATTTATAACCTTTCTCCAATGACGATGTTCACAATAAGGTAATAACCTCCCACCTGAGTGTTTACCCAACATCTCAATATCTTAACCTTCCACATAACGATTTTTCCTAATAACAAATAAGGAGGTGATAGTTGATCTTATTATGTTTATAACCTTCCACGGTTTGAATCTCAACGATTTGAATAATATAACCTTCACATAAGCATGATTCTCAACTATGTGAAGATTATAAGTTTCCAAAATAAAATGAAATTATAACCTTCTGGTATGTTTGTTATTAGATCAATCCGACCAAATCACTGTCTCACAAAAAACGTGTTACCTTTGACCAAATATTATATTAAAGCCTAATTATTTATCTCAAGTACCTTCCTCCAAGGATGTGAAAACCATCCATCCAAGTAGTTTTTTCAACTCCTTGAGGTTATAACCTTCACCCAAAGACCAAGTATATTCTAGCCTTACACACAATTATTTCTCTTCACTAAAAAGTATAACTCCCAGAAAGTTTTCCATAACTCTTTGTACGTTTTAACATTCCTCCAACGATGTTAAAACCTTCCAGAAAAGTAGTTTTTACAAATCCTTGAGGCTATAATCTTCCGCCCATAGACCTATAGTATATTGTAACCTTACCCCCAATTATTTCTCTTCACTAAAAATTATAATTCCCAGAAAGTTTTCCTTAATTCTTTGTAGGTTATAACTTTACTCCAAGGATGTTAAAACCTTCCAGAAAAGTAGTTTTTTCAAATCCTTCAGGTTATAATCTTCCGCCCATAAACCAAGTATATTGTAACCTTACCCCCAATTATTTCTCTTCACTAAAAATTATAATTCCCAGAAAGTTTTCCTTAGTTCTTTGTAGATTATAACCTTCCTACAAGAATGACAAAACCTTCCATCTAAGAAGTAACTTTAACTTTTAACTTTAACTTTTAACTTCTTGGAGATTATAACCTTCTGTCTGTAGAACAACGTAGTTGTATCTTTCACCCTTTTTTAAAAAAATTTTTCTTAACCGCTTATATACTGTATCTCCCCTCGTCAAACACTTCTGAGCTTTTTACTGCATTCTCTTCAAACTGCCATTTTTCTACTTACCATAAATAAATAATTTATTATTAAAAATCTAAAGCCACTTTAGAATTGTTGTTGTGTTGTTGTATTGTTGACTTTTTTCAATAGCAGTTTAGAGTAAAGCCGTCACGGCTTTAAGTCAAATCACGTCAAGTTGATCCGCGATTTTGAAAAAGTCGCGATAGGTTATAACAGCTTGATTAAGGTTTCAAGGAGTTATAACCTAACCTGACATAGGTTTTCATAGTTTATAACTTGTAAGAGATTTGAGAGGTAGCAACCTGACACAAGAAGTTTTCACAGCCTATAACCCCACGTGTATGAAAGTTTTGATGTTATGGCATATA